TGTAACATAAATGGTAATCACCGGATTGTAATGCTATTCGCCATGCTGAATTAATTGACATCAATATCAGTGTGTCGCTGCGTGCTCTCACATAAAGGTTGTGCTGAGATAGCATCACTTCTCTCTAGAATCTAATCAACAGCGTGTGTGCTGGTTCCAATCACAGGTTTACCATTTACACATCATAGTTTAGGTTTAACATTTTCGTTTCCACTTTTCAGTTTTAAAATTCGTCATTAACGAATTGGTTTGTATTGTCTTAAACTTATTGGTTGTTGGTCAATTCATCAAGAATGTGTGTAATGTTACGTGCAGTCTGCAAATGTCCACAGATCGAAGCTGTTCACTTAGAAAGCCGCCGATGTTTTCAACAGTTTTTCACGGCACTAATTGTTAAGAAAGCACCGCGCAGTGCGCAGTGTGGCATTATCTGGTGTCCATCAGCTCTCCACGTCTCGCCACTGTCAGAGAGAGTGCGGGAGGAGTTTTCTAATAGATGTGTTGTGACGGCACACCGGACAGAATTGGAAACGAGACAGATTTCGCGCTAAACGTTGGAAATAAGCGGACAGTTACTACTTACACAGTAACACAGCGTCCACTACTCACTGGATAATAGTAGGCACCGCCGCACCGGTCCACGTGCACGTGTCCTTCATGTTTCTTTTCTAGTTTTCACATTATAGGTTAAAGTAGTTAGACATTTAACATAGTGCCATTCAGTGAGGAATTTAGATTTCTAATCTGCGTGAATCGAATGGTTAGACTCTTGCAAACGAGTCCTCCAGTTCTAAGAGTCCCCATCGTAACTAGGTAATGGTAGAAATATAATCATATTCTTTCTGGATTTCATCGGTTACACTTGTAAATCGGGTAAATATTTGAATGAAATGAATAAAATAGATTGATTTTTTTATGGCATAAGCCGTTAAACGAGCACACGGATCACCTGATGCTAAGCAATCGGCGTCGCCCTTGGACACCTGGAACACCAGAGGTGTTACAATTGCGTTAACGACCTTTTGAAGATTAGGAGTTTGAGGATCGTTGGGGATTCAGGGTTTGGGGAGATTGGGGAAGGGGAGGGTAATTGGGCCTCCGGTAACCTCACTCAAGCGACGAAACACAAAGGCAAGCGTTGCTTCACGTCGGTTTTCTATGAGGCCGTGGTATCACTCCGGTCGAGCCGGCCTATTCGTGCCGAAGCATGGCTCTCCCACACTTAATTGTTGGTATTTCTTTTAGAGCAGTTCGAAGATGATCGTGTAGTGCGTGTGTGGCGAGAAAGTGCAGCAGTAATTAAATTGGGCATCTCGTCGTGCGATGGCAGCAGTCAGCAGCACACTTAGCACGGAAAGCGGAACATTATTGCGTCACACACTACAACATCTGCTCACAGTGCAGGGTTGTACACAAGTAATTAATCTACGTAATAACCGAAATATAAGGAGGAGACAATCCACTAAATAACGAAGAAATCAATAACAAATCTTCCAGTTCATTTGATACAGTTCCTAAATGGTCTATATTTACTGTAAATTCTAGGTCCAAATACATATTTTAGCATCGCCATAATTTTGTCAACCGATTATGTCAACAATCAGCACTAAAATGATGGAAATTCTAGACACATTGGTTACGAACCACCACAGATTTATTACAAAACAATTTACTTGAAGTTATTAAACAGCGCAGTGCGTCAGCCCTGCGGATAAAACCGAGTGAGCAACTCGTCACAATTAGGGAATAGCGAACATTGAGTTCAAAGGGGCAACTAGGTCAGCAGAGCTCTCCACTCCCTGCGCAATGGCACCGCCCACTCACATGGGGATTAGTGAACGGCACACCACTTCACGGAGTGTTACGTGACGTGGTGATTGACAGGCTTTTGTTTCGATGCTGTATTTACTTGTGATTCATAATCGGTTATGCACATGAAGACACTTCACATCACTTTACACATTGTTGATTTTATTTATCAGTGATGTTAAGTATGGATTAATGTTTAATTGTTTTGGAACCTGTCCCACGTTTATTTGTTTGCGAGATATGGGCACGTAGTCCCGATGGAATTTTAAAATTGTATACTAGTAGAATCGGCAAGTGTGTCCAAAAATGTTAATTGTGGATGTAGCATTTACAATTTTCCCGTAAATTGTACTAGACTATGAAACTCAAAGCTTGCCTAGTGCCTACAAACCAATAAAAAGTAGAAACCAAAGCCTCGTTAAATGAAATAAACACTAACTCTCAGTGACATCACGGCCGGACTCTGAAATGACCTGTCACGTAGTAGCCGTATCAGTACTAAAGTACCGTACTCCCGGAGACGGTGACGTAACGGCTGCGGTCCGGCTACCGACGCCGGCGCCTGATACTTTGATCCCGCTGACAGCCGTGACGTGTTCCATCACAACGCGAGTAATGAACCAGTACGCGATCGATTCACTTCCATCAACACACCCTGCGGGGCAAGTGATTGAGAAGTCAACGTCACTTCAAGGTATTTAAGGATTGATTTGATAAATATTGTTGAGTCCATCGTTATAACTAATGGAATTACGTAAATGATTTGATTAGTAAAATAAGTAACAAGTCGTGCTGGTGACCAACATGACTTCCATGGATGTGTAAAAACAAAATCTCGAGATAAAGAAGTACTTTTTTTTGAAGATCAATATTTTTACATGAAACGTGCAACGAGGCTAGTTAAGCGCCATGTTGCGGCGATTTCCAATCTAAAATAGTTTGGTAAGTTCATAACAATAAATCGTGGGACGTGCGCATGCGCATGCTGCGCTTGTTAGGCCGATACCTATGACAATAAGTGAGAGCGATGCTGAACTACCATAGACCATAGATAATGAGGAACAAAAGGTTTACTAGCAGCGGAGCGCCGGCGCTGTCTGTCGTGCCTTCGTGCACCACAGTGATGTTCTATTTCACATAAGTATACGATACTATTAATTAATTACACATTTATCAATAACGTCTTGAATTAAGATTAACATCTTTGAATACGTGAACTTCGACAATGAGCATCATTTGTGGCTTTGTGACAAATCATTAGATGATCATACATACACATGCGTAAGTTTTAAAAAACTGCACCTAATGACAAAATCACCTCACAGGACATCTATCCTTTCGAGTATCTAATTATCTATCCACTAAGGAACTTAAAATTGTGGTATTATGGTCTACGACATGCTGGTTTTAAAATTTTCTTTATACTTTTTGTTCGCACTTCTGAGCAGTCGTTTCTTATTCCAAGCATAATAAATGTCAGTAATTCGTCAGTTGGAGTTAGCAGCGCTCGGAGCGCCGCCGCCCAAAATGGCGCGGACGTCCATTGCGGCAGCGATAAGCGGATAAACTCAACATTACCGTATTCAGGGCGCGCGTAGAAAGCTGCCCAATACACCGCTACATTAGAATAGGACTCTCGCCTTTACCCGCCAACGTTTAGAGTGCCAGTACACTGGACAGTGCGCGCTCAGTTCCGTAACAAGATCCCATTCCGCTCGCAATGGGCGCAGCGCTACGTTACTTACGTAAGCGTCCTTTTTAAGTTTAATTGCAGTAAATGCACTCGTTTGTCGCAAATTGTGGACGTTGTCGCAGTACGTGTGTACTGTGCCCGTTCCCACACTGCCAGTGAGCCTACTGCCCGACCAGTTTGAGTGGTCATAGTTACAGCGTTCGGAAAATGTGGACCTTTATGAGTTTGGTTATGTCAAAGGTCACTTCTTCTGCTGCGTTATTATGAAACGTTACTCCAGTTTGTGCATTTCTGTTATACATATTATGACTTGACTGGATTACTTAAACCAGCTTACTTAGTTACCCAATATCTAAGTCGCGTGACTCACTGGTCCAGTGTGCACTAAGTATTGTTCCATTGTCAGGTAAATAGCTGCACGATTATCTAACATTATCTGAAACAGTGGCGAGGTCACATTCCGAGAAGGGCTCTGCTGGCCTCGACTGGCCATAGCGGGGTAGATAGTAAGCGTGGCTGCGCGGGCGCAGCGCGGCGGTCACTAGCACGTGCTACAACTACACCTCGCTAGTCACTGCACGATACTTCAACTGCGTAATGTAAACGACCTCTGCACCTAATGTTTCCATTGTTTACGTTACAAAAAGGGCTTATTATGCTGTTTGGCTGCTTTTAAGGCAGTGATTGAAAAATTGAACGACTGATATAATTTCGAGATAAGTGACAAATTACTTGATTTCGGTCACGACTAGCCTCCACAACATAAGGACCTTTACAATTATTCCTTGAGGTGCTTTGAGTCTAATTAGTGCAGCTCTCTCACTTGCTCCATATTCCACATAATAGTATTCTCTCGTTAAGTGGGACAGTCAGCAATATTATAGCTCGGAGCACTTTCCCGCAGTGTGTCTGTGTGTCTGTGTCTAATGCCTAGTAGATCGCTCGGTGAAAATCCCCTCTCGCAAACAACACTCGAAGCTAGACTGATAAGCTGTGTGGATATTAACAGAATTTCACGCCGAAGCAATTGCTGAGCTTGTGCCAGGCACAGGTGCTCTCATCTTTGGAACGGCTCGGCCAAATATCAGCTGGATGCGTTAGAGTACATCGAGAGGCGTGCCAAGAGGCTCATCGACGATGATGCGCTTGTGGAGGTTCGGCTTCGAAGCCTGGAACACAGGCTTAAGGTTGCAAGCCTTTCAATCTTCTATAACACAATCGGCGAAGCGTCACCGATTCATGGTAGATGTCCCCACACGCACGAAGTGCTTCGCAGCAAGCTTCCTTGTGAGTACTTCTAAGGAGTGGAATTCTCTGCCAGAGTCTGTATTTCCTGAAGGGAACCTGGATGTCTTCAACGCCCGAGTGAATAGGTTGCTCATGGGTCGACGTGCTCCATCGTAGACCGCATCATCGCCTCTATCACGCCATGTGGTAACACATGGCGAGATAGAGGCCAAACGTCGCCCCATCTATAAAAAAAAGAATGAATACTCACCAATTTCTTAAACTAATGTCTGTCTCATCCTACAACCAACGGTGAACTGAAACAAACAAACAAAATACGTTACAACATTGTCTCAATATACCTCTACACGTTTCTTGTACACGCGTAAAATACTAAAATGACACGTTTCATAAATAGAATGAATGTTTATTTTGATTGCAGAAGCAAAGTGCACGGTGTTCCGGGGCGGGTGACCCACCTACCGCCCTGTCGGGCCGGGCCGGGCCGGGCCGGGCGCGGCGCCGCGACGTGAATCAAACCAGAGCCGCAGCTTTCTCCGGTCAATGGCTGCTGCAGATATTTCACTAACCACTAATGCCACTGCCGATATCGTTTACACTGATAATATTGTGTACAGTCAGCACAAATATTTGGTATGTAGTTAATGAAATAAATATTGTCTCAGTGCAGAGACAGTTGCTATTGTTACACATAGCCGATGGCCGGTGTTGCTCTATGTCGTTACAATAAGTTACCACATTTTTAAAGTAAAACATTAAATTCTTCGGCTCGGCTTCGGCCACTCAATGGTTATGTACTGTCTCTATACTGAATCAATCTTTATTTCCTTACCTGCAAACTAAATCCCTGTGCTGACTGTACACACCGTCACGACCTGCTCTGCTAACTGTTTGCATGCTGTTATACATTACTCAAGATCGTTTAACTTCACTCTGATCCTATCTGTTTATAAACTCTAAGGGAAGCCAAGGTTAGGTTAGGTAGCTTAGACTTAGCATAACTTATTCGACACCTGTTGAGCTATTAACATTACGCGTAGAAAGGCTCGGTGTGGGGAAAATTCAGTATGCACGGACTGTACTCATTGTAAACGAGTGACGTCACTCTGCACAAATTCAGCGCAATCATTCAAATCGCGGTGCTGTTGTGAATATTAACAAATGACTAGTTTCAACACTTGTTGCACTCGCCATTCATTTGTTTTAAGTAAAATAATGCAAGCTCCTCCAGTGTGCTGCGCTCCTGGTAGTTGCTTGGCTAGACGCTACATGTAGCTGCGGCGTGACTTTGCTTCCTCATCGGATTATAGACTGGCTCAACCGGGAAACATACAGGATTATGGAAATGTTTATTGCAATCGGAAAACTCAAATAGTCTCGATATCTAACTACCTATTAGATAACGAATCGATTGCTCGCTGCTACGACCCGAGCGTTTCCGATCTCCTTTAGTTAATTATAATTATTTATTCGTCTGACGACCGATTTGCGTCCAGTTATTTTGTAATTAATTACAGGTAATTTTTTAACGAGATATATCAGTCTTAGTTCTTACATAAATCTGGAAGACACTCACTATTTATTCGACAGTCATTAATAAAATTACCACATTTAATAAGTTATGAATTTACGTATGTTCAGGACCATTAATAACACAATATAATCAATGAGATAAGTATGCGGAACTGGTTTACTTGAGGCACGTAGTACATTGTGTGAAAGGACATTTTATTTTTACAACTTACCTAAAAACAAAGTCCGTACTTAAATAAGTAGGTAAATAAGTAGATAGTGGTACTTTCCATTTAATTTGCACAAAATAACAAAAGTTGACATTAATATTCCCAGTAGGTAGTTAAAAGAATTTCCAAAACGATGGAATACCCATTATATCAAAGAGCCAATTTTTCAGTTGAAATCCTTTAGTTCAGCTTTCTAACATTTACTTTCTTCCGTCACCTGTACTCCTAGTAGACACGAGCAAGTACTGACAAACAGTAGACACTATACATATAGCGGCGACATATTATTACACCATCTTGAATACATAAAACAAACTAAATATGCATATTTAAACAGTAATTTGCATAGTGATCGGTCGGAAGCTGTGATAAATGTGGAGTGACCCGACCGCGGCGCGCGCGCACCAGACAAATAAACTAAACAAACATGCGCGTGCGCACTGTCACGCACGACACGACGCGTGAGTATATTTGTACTGCGATGGAGCGGTCCTGTATTTGCTTACTGGTAATTAGTAACGGGTGAATTAATAACTGCATCTCGTTTACCGTAAATCCGTTTTTCGAGTGTATAGCAGAATAATCGAGAGTCTGAAGAGTGCTAATTAAACATGAATAAAATTCCGACTGATTTGTTTAACTGCCACTTAGCTGTGGCGATTCAATTTTCAATTTTTAATTTAAGAAACTTTTCGAGAATACTATTGTTCTAGAATCTAGAATAAATTTCAAATGCGTGGATAACTATTAAATCTTCCAGAAGCACAGATATAGGTCTTTCTATAAGAGACTTTTTCTAAAGAACATAGATTTTTATCTGCTTGTCCTGAAAAATTTTAATGTGCAAAAGTTCAATAACTTTATTTTACTGGGATCTAGTGCACGATAAAGATTGTCTAATCTAAACGGTAAATGTATAGTAGGTACGATGGACACTGGTACAATCACCGATAGCGGTGCTCGCCTTGACCGTGACGCGCCGAGTCGAGAGTGAAACCGTTGCGTTGTACAGTCGCGGCCGCTGCGGGCTGCCGGCACTCCCGCACTGCACCGCACTGTACCTGTACCGTTCCACCGGTGTATAATGATCGGATACACTCCATGTGCTTTACTTGCAAATTGCAATATGTGCAAATATCCTAAATACATGATTTCATTTGTTATTAAGACCAATAGCACACTTAGATAACGATTTAACGATAAATAAAAAGTGTACATTGCAGCAATCCTTGAATTTAGCAGTAGTCATAAGTTTTAATGAGTGTCTTTCGTGTGAGTGATGACCAGCACATCCACAGGACCACTAATTGCACTCAGCTCCAATTAGCACACATCGCACAGCTTCACGAGATAACATCGGGAGCTTCAATAACAGTTAGGCACTTACTTTTGTAGACTGAATAACAAGTCTCGCGGATGATTTAGATCTTTATAACCACATAATTTTAATAACAAAAACAATGAATATTAATGAGAAAGAAAGCATCAATTTAATTTAATTTGACATCAAGAAATAGTAAACGATTGTGTAATAAGTAGGAAGTGTACAAACAAACGCAAGCGTCACCCTACTTCGATAGTAACAAAACGAAAATAGATAAAGACATTAATCCACTATTTGGTTAAATAGAGGGGATTCGCCTTTACAACACAAGGGTCACAAGTCACATGTAGTGAGTGTTACCGACGTCAGTGCAACAGGTGAGATCATAACACGTAATTATTGTAAGCCTACAGGTGCAGGTCTGGTCAGACGATTAGCTTATAGCTAATGATGGATGATCCAACCGAACAACTCTGATTAGTCGGTTCTCACATGTATCGCCCCCTATTTGTCCATGATTGATGGCATTCTGACCTCTCTATTGTGTCAACTGCCTCCTGCTTATTAAGTTCCTTCTTTATTGATTGATTGAATTTCAATACTTCTTTTATTTTTTAATGTAGTGGTCATAACTGGGATTGACGAGAAATTTTGAGCCCTGGATATGTAGAAATATCAGGGTCTTTTGTAATTTTGTTTAAGTCTGCTTCCAGTATTGCAGATAAATGATGTCTTCAAACTGCAAGCTTGTTTCTAGCTACGTATTGATAAGTAATGTAAGTGTCCGTAGACTGTACGTCGTGCACATTCGGTAGGCAGCACATAATGCGTGTCACGCTTTGTATTCTTGGCCATTGAACGCGAAATGAACATACATTACCATACGAGGCATATTAATGGCACTCATTGAATACAATACAAACTCTAGCTCACTAACTGACTTACTACAACATTGTGCTGTAGACGTAGTGAGCAACGACCTTACCACATCGGGACACCAATCCGCAAATACTTTGACAAATTGTTACTAATACTTGCCCAAAAAGATTAAGTTGACAAAGAAACGGCCGAAGGCACAGAGTGACGCATGAAGATAGATCGCGGGGTCAGGTTAATCCCTTAACGTTTACAATAAATAATACTATAAAGGAGCTCAATGTTGACAATGGTTTCGTATTCAACTAAGTAGTTGAATACGAAAGCTGTATCTGTGAGGTAGTAGGACCACATAAATATGCAGCATAACATGATTACTTCCTATGCCATTATGACTGTGTGGAACGACAAGCGATGTCGTAACTTGCATAATCAGTATTAGTAAATTTCTATTCAAACCACATTAATTGACCCTCAAGGTTTCGGACCGTACAATCGCATCTCTTTCAACTTGACGTATTGCTATAGTAAGTACACTTTCCCCACACGTGGTATGATGACTTGAATGAATCTACTAAACATACAGTCGTTACATCCAATACACACGGCTCTTGTAAATAGAGGTAATGATGGTGAGTAAAGGAAACGTGCGATTATTGAGAGATGCCTATTACAAAGTTATAAAATGAAATTAAGAGTTGTAATGGTTAATTTTGGATACTCCTGAAACGTTAAATATAGACCAAAGAATACGTTAAAAGATCAAAAACTTGAACACGATCGAAAATAAAACAGATATCCATGTAAATGGCTATGAGAGAGTGGAAAATGTAGGATTTAATCACAAGACTGAGGACAACTTTACAAATAATTGCATAAAGCTGCATGGGAAGGTACGCACAATGATGACGTGATATGCATTAAACATGTTAAGTTTATCGTGCCTTAAGTTTACGACCAGATGAAGGTATTTCCCCATTCCCAATATATCGCGTGACTCATTAGGAAAAACTTAAGACTTTCCTAGAGAGACTATCTTTCCTTCCTAAATAAAAAATATTAGTCACAGGTTTAATTAGTAAACATGTATTGAATAAACATAATGATACTCGGCGTATGTTGTGAATGCATGTGTTGCATCGTGTTGCGTGTGCGTCAGTGACAATAACATAAACAATGCGCCACCTGACTGTCTGACAGATAATACATAATAGTACTGGGATGTTCTTTTACATCTATACATATGTACCTCTAAAATCGTAGGAAAGTGAAAACTGTATATCGATTTTTTTTTTCTTTGGGATTGATCTCCAGTCCATACCGAAACAAAAAAATATGATTTTTAGAATTTTTG